CTTCGGTGAGAAAAACGCCGCCGAGCGCTTCGCCTCGTTTTTGAGCCAGCACGTTCCACTTCGGTAGGATCGGTCGATTTAGCGTCGCTCGAATTGGTTCGGATTGTATGTTGTTGGTGTAGGACCAAGACGACGCGAAAGCACATTTCAACCGACGTCCGCAACAACACGGCCAACGTCAAGCTCACGATCGTGGCCGAGATCGCGCCGCTTTGCAAGGACGACCTCGTGATCCTTGAGAAGCGCACGGCGCAGCAGTGCGGTATGTCGGTCGCTGTCGTCTCGCGCGTCACGACCCAGATCCACCTCGTCGACCCGCGCACATGCCGCCGGTTCGTTGTTTTTTCACGATTTTTAGAGTCGATTTTACATTCTTTTCTATGGTGTTAGGTCGGAGGTCACGTCGGAAAAGTACTGGAAGCACCCCTTCCACGCGCTCGACACAGGCGCGTCGATGGTCGAGTTTATCGTGCTGGACGTCGAGCCGCTACAAGTGGCGCCCAAGGACACGCAAGACAGCGCCGATCTGCTGGCGGTGGTCGAGGTCGCCCGCGTCTCGGACTTTGGCTTCAACGATACGACGTTCCACGTGACGAGCCACCTCGGGCAGTACCTCTCGGCCGGCGACACGGTCAAGGGCTACGACCTCCGTAACTGCAACTTTGCGTCACTGCCACTGTACCACCTCAAGGACGAGCTTCCGGACATCATCCTAGTCCGCCGCGTGGTTCCGAAGATGGACACGGAAGGAAATCGCCAAGAGCGCAAGACGCTGCGCGTGCAGACAAGCAAGGCGAGCGCCAAGAACCGCGAGCGCGAAGAGGAAGAGTTTGACGCCTTCATGGACGACTACGAGGAAGATCGCGCCGGTGAAGAACGCATCAACACACCGACGCTCTAGCTGGAAAGAGACGACATGCTCATCAATCACATGCACGGCTGGCTATCAACAAAGCCTCGTCTAACGGTGTAATGACCACGCGTTAACCGCAATAGAGAAAATTTACAGTAGCAACAAGACCCCTGAATACAGTAGTGTTGATGTCAATCAGTCGATTCTAGATTGCCAAGACGACGCGGACACAGATGTCGCTGTGGTGCGCCTTTTGAAGCGCGGCGGCCGCGTCGGCCACGGGCGTCACTTGCACCTTTTTCTCTGCAACCCAGGAAAGGCAATCATCAAGAAGGATCACGTGCCTTCAATTTGAGGCTTTCCCTGATTAGGCTGAAGGACCCTTGTTTTGACAATAATGTGCAAAAAGAGATGTCGACGCGTTGCGGTTGCAAGATTGTATCGAGTGATAATTGCATTCGTCCATGCGTGCACCAACGTCTCGATCAAGGGCGACGCCACCTACTGTATCGAGGGCGCTATCTGCGGCGGCAACGGTAGCGCCTGTCCCAAGCAGGGCGACTGGGCCTCGGGCGACTGGAAGGCCAGCCTTTTCTCGTCCAAGAATGACTGATGCCAGCGTGCAGTCCGCCTTCACATCAAGAAGGGTCACGTGCCTTCAATTTATGGCTTTTCCTTGATTAGACTGAAGGACCCTTGTTCCAGGGTCATTGAGCCACGTGAGCCTCGTCAGCTCAATGCAGAAGTAAAACAACATCACAAAATACCCACTTCGACACCGAGTACACTTTCGTCTCTGCGCCAGACGTCACGTCGAACAAGTCTGGATTCTTACTTGGCTTGGTTGGAGGTCTCCCTTTCCTCAACGCAACACTTCGAATCGGCAAATCTGACGCCATGACGTGGCAGCACAACAAACAAGACAATAGGAAAAGTCAGTTTGCATATTCATGTAGTAGATTAATAAAGCCATTTAATGCTGCATCTGACGCGCGACCAAGTTGGCGTAGAGGCCGTTCGGGAGGTTCACCAGCTCGTCGTGCGTGCCGAGCTCGCACACCTTGCCGTCGTTGACAACTGCGATCATGTCGGCGTTGCGGATCGTCGACAAGCGGTGAGCGACAATCACGGTCGTACGGCGCTTCTGCCTGAGGAGACGGTCCAACGACTCTTGCACGATGCGCTCGCTCTCCGTGTCGAGCGCCGACGTCGCCTCGTCCAGCAAGAGCACGGCCGGGTCGCGGAT